TGCCAGCTAGGCCTCAGCCGGCGCAGGGGGCGGCACCACGCATGCATGGCGCTCCTGGGCAGGGAAATACAGGTAGTCCTCAACTTATGACCGGTTGCGGGGTCGCGGCATTAGTAAGGTTGAGAACCACTGATCTATTGCCTTTCAGCTAGCTAGCTAGCTAGCTAGCCCTGTTATTTATCATCATCATCATCTATGTATCATCTACCTATCTACCTTCCTCAGATACACAAAGTCCTCACATTGCCCTCTTCATTTCTTTCACTTTGATACTGTCAACTGAGCAAGATGACAATTGCTATCTGGGCTCTAATTCTTGCAAAGGTAAATAAGAGGGCATCCATTGTGGAAAGGAGCACTATTGTCATATTAGCTTTAACTGCCTCCTTAACAGGGTTTCCTCCTGAAACTTTTACAATTGACAACTGCCAGATAATCCCAACTGGCAGAAACAGGTCTGCTGGGAAGTTATCTTCTTTTTAAAATATAAAAGACTTCGGAGGAATGCTGTATGAACATGCTAGCTTTTTGAGGACATGAACATGTCACTGTGGTTTGCTGTATGGTTTGTGGCTTATTCTCTAGAAAATATGTATAAAGCAAGATAATCCAGTGGGTTCTTTGGTAGAGATAGCTAGAGCTTTTGAGACTTCATTTCTTCCATTTTTTTCCCCTGATAAGCACAATAACATGAAGTATATGTTGACATCACTGTATACAATTTCACAAAAATTTATGGCTAAGCATGACTCTCTTAAGTGGCCTTGAACTTAGGAACAGAAACAGGAACAGAAACAATGCTTTTCAGCAACTGAGAGATCATCCTTAAATTTATGTTACTCTATTTAGGAAGAACATCATGGGGCACTAAAGCTGATAAAAGCTCCTGATGAAGAAACTGAAGGTCCTTGATTGAATGCAATTCAGTGGTAAAGTAAAGTTTTGCACTTTGGCAACAAAAACCAAATGCACAGGTATAGATTAGGTGGTATGTGGCTCAACAGCAGTAACTATGATAGGGATCTATGAGTCCTAGGGGACAACCATTTAAATATAAGCTAGCACTTCACTGCAGCTGCCAAAAAATGCAGTCTAGGCTGCATCAACAGAGGAATAGTATCAAAGTCATGTGAAGTATTAGTACTGCTTTATAGTGGTTTGGTAAAACCACATTTGGAATATTTTGTCCAATTTTGGCCAGCACGATATAAAAAAGATGTTGAGACTCTAGAAAGAGTGCAGAGAGGAGCAGCTAAGATGATTGGGGACTGGAGGCTAAAACATGATGAGCAGTTTGGGAATGGATATGTCTAGTCTAAGAAAGAGAAGGACTAGGGTGACTTGATAGTAGTCTTCAAATATTTGAAGGGCTATCACTGAGAAGAGAGGGTCAACCTATTTTCCAAAGCTCCTGAAGACAGGACAAGAAGCAATAGATGGAATCAAGCAGAGAACCAACCTAGAACTAAGGAAAAAATTTCTTGACAGTGAGAACAATTAATCAGTGGAACATCTTGCTTCCATAAATTGTGGGTGCTCCATCACTGGAGGTTCTTAAGAAAGGATTGGATAGGCATTTTCCCCTCTCTTTTTTTGTAATACTGCTAAATTTCTCTTGCTTCAAACAAAACAATGACAGCAGGGACAAGCAGCCTAAACTGTCTTCTGCACATGGATTAATGCAAATGTTGAGATGGCAGCCAGGCTTAGCTGACCAAACAGAAGTTCTTGAGGTCCTTTGTCAATGGTACCAGCCCGGTCCCTCATTCGGAAGAATCTATGCCAAAATTCCTTCTTTGAATAAAACAATAAAGCAAAAATGACTTTGGCTCTGAACCTGCCTGGCTTTGGTGAAATGTGTGTTTCTACCAATAAACCCTCTTTTAAAGGCAGCATCATGACATTTTTTTACATAGTATAGGGAACTCCTAATTAGCAAGCCTGCCAGATATGTAGAAGCATCTTGAAGAATTTTCAATCTCAAGATTAGCTCTGAATGATGGGAGTTATTAATTATGCTCCCAAAGATTCAAAATAGGGCATTTCCTAATTCCAAAACTCATATGTGTGAAGCACAGAATCCACAATAAATAGCATTTAATTGGTTTCCAGAAGACAGAATATTTTTTTCAACATAGTAAAGCAGACATTTGCAAGTGAGTTGTTCAAGGTTATGATTTTAATTATTGCTCTTTTCTAAGCAAAAAACACTTTTGTCAAAAAAATCAGATTTCTTGGCCTAGTCATTTTTAGAGTGCATTTAGTTCCAAGCTAATAGCATAATTTAAATACCTTTACCCATACAATGGGTTTTTCTTCCAGTAAATTATAGTAGGTCATGTGCTTCAGGGAATTAAAACCAGGTCGTGGGAGACTAACACTATAAAACAGTACTTGAGAGTTTGGGCTAATAAAGATAGCAGTTGTCATTTTAATTCACCCACTTATAAAGAGCAGAGTAAGCATTATAATGAGTGTGCTCCCAAGATGCCTAATAAAAGCTTAGGCTATTTTATTATTCATGATTTGTTCTCTACTGAAACTTCTGTCAGCATGGAGTAAAATTTAATGTGTATCAGGAAATACGATTGTCTAAACACATTTGGTAGTCTGACATTTAGTTGTAAAGGCCTGGTAGTAGTAGATTTAAAGCAATGGCATGAAATTCGGTCTATCCTTTCATGTGCTGCTCCAGGAACAAAAAGCTTGGCATTTGAATGGATTCTAAACCATTTTCAAACAAAAGTCAGAGCAATGGCTTTCTCCTATGAAATCCTGAATGATTGGGGGGTGGACCTGTTGGTTTCCTATGCCCTTCTAAGCTTCCTTGATACATTCAGTCTCTGCAACACAGAGAGAACAACATCCTAGTATGGTTCACTGTTCACGAAATCTAATCAAATCTCTATTGCAATCTCTATTCCTAGCTTGATTCCCCAAATTCCAACCAGGATTTTTATTCCTTCTTATTTGGCTTTTGGCCACTCTTGGGAAATCACTCCAAAGGGAACAACAGAAAAAATAAAATGTAGAGGGCTCCCTCCTCTTTGCAAAATCCCTTTTTGGGTGGGAGAACTCACATTCAGGATCTGCTCCTTGGCAACTGATTTTCTCAGGATGCAAAGGTCTCTGCCAGTTGACTGCACTAAAAACTCAGCTAAGTTCCCCCCCCCCTTAACTCTTGTTGCATCTAAAATCTGCTTGAAATATAACTTCCCCTATTTCAGGGAGATCTGGGGGAGGGAACGTGAGTTGAAAAGGGAGAAATGGCACCCACAACCATGTATAGGGATTCAACTGCCATCTGTTTGTGACCATCATTCTGGCTTTTTTGATCACCACCCTTCTTGCAGACTCCCTGATTCTTGAAACTTCAGTTGGTCCCAATCCTGAAAGGCACACATCACTTATATTTTCTGGGGGTGGAGGGAGAATTGAACTGTGGGACATTTTCAATTTACTGAAAAGCTGTTACAATCCTGAGTGTGCTTCTTCCCAATGAGCAGAACAATGCACGCTTCTAAGAAATCATAATTTTTTAAAATTGTGAAATCTGCTTGTGGGAAATGCAACAGAGGTTATATGCAAGGCACAAAGACTGAATGACTATGCTTTATTTTGAGTAAAGAGTGCTATACTCTTCAAGTCTTTCCTGCCATTCAAACTGAGTGCTACTTCCAAGGAAAATGAAATGAAAGTTGCTTAATGGGAAACTTTGCTTCAAAGTGGGAAATCAGAACATGTGAGATAGGCAGAGGGAAAGAGAAGGGAGTGAACACCATCCCAGATTAAAAGAGCTGAGTAATTAAAATGCTTGTAAGGAAAATAAAAACAAAGGATATACAAGAAAACAAGAGGTTCGCTCTGCCAGCCCTAGAGGCTTATAGACCCTCAAGTTGCAATCCTCTTGCAATCTTATCTGGGAGTGAAGTTTGTTGTGTCCTGAGCCTGGAAAAGCAGGCTCAGGATGTTGCATTGGTCCCGGGCATTCCAAAAGCTGCCCGGGACCAGACAGAGCGGCGCCAGCCTTGTGCGCGTGCGCAAGGCACGAAAATGCTCTGTTCACATTGGTTGCCATTGTCCGGGTTTCTGGCCATATAAAAAGTCCTGCGTGCCTTTTGTGCTTGCTTGGTTGTTGAGAAGGTGAAATAAAGCGTTTGCTCAACATCGTCATGTGTCTTCATCATTCACACACGAACAAAGTATACAACAAAGTTCACCTGGGCAAATGGGACTTCTGTCTAAATGCATGAATGTAATTCAAGTGCTACAGAGATAGTGTGCTGTATGTTATTTGAGGACCAGAGAGAAATCTAGATATAAATTCACCCTTGCCCTGAAAGATCATTGGGTAACTTTGGGCCAGACTCTTCCCCCCATCCCCTTTATCTATCTCACAGCTTGAGCTCCTGAAGGAAAGGCAACATATATGTATGTGAAGAAAGAAAGAAAGAAAGAAAGAAAGAAAGAAAGAAAGAAAGAAAGAAAGAAAGGAAGGAAGGAAGGAAGGAAGGAAGGAAGGAAGGAAGGAAGGAAGGAAGGACCAATCATGCCTGTCTGAACCACATTATAGAATCCAAAATAAACATGAATAGAGAAATATGTAGTCCAACCACTCAATGTTGCAACATGTCATAATCTTCCCCTAGTCTTGCTTCACAACAACCCTCAGAGAATTGCTGGGGAATGATGAAATGAAGAGGTACATGTAAAGTAACTCTAAAAGATAAAACATGGAAGCATAGTCTGTTGTATATGTTGTGTTTAAACCTTGCCTTTCCCATAAGTGTGTTCCTATGTTACAAAGCTTTTCCTTAGGGAGGAAGCCAATTAGAACCAGCCAATTAGAATCAGTTTTAGTGGTGCCTAGACATGTACCACTAAAACTAATATAGCTAACAGATACACAGCTGGTGTTATCCTTACCATGCACACCAGGGTTTGTTTTAAGGGCTCCAAATGAATCATAATCAGTGGTGCCTAAATAAAAAAATGCGATGCACTTTATCAAGACTGTTTATTGACCAGCAATGAAAAAAAATTAATTAAAACAGTGCAATACAGTAACAATCTAAGTACAGGATTCTAAAGTGAATAGGAAATCAAAATCATGACAAGCTGTGCCTCTAGTACATTTTTTAATAAAATACCTATCATGTACTGTCTCATGTAATCCAAACCATGCATAGGATGCCAGATTGAAACCAGCTAGATTAGATTTATCAGTTTCAATAACAGGGCTTGGATTGCATAGTCCTGGATACCTTCCTTTATTCACCCTCACAGCTGTCCCTAGTTTACCCCATCACTGACATCAAGAAAACAAAATAGTACGCTGTAAAAATATTTTGCAAAAATCTGTAACATGAATTGATATTCTATTTTAGAACACTCCTCACTTGTAATGCCTAAACCATTGTCCTGTTTAGGAAAAACTTTTGATTTTATCACAATTAGCTATGAAAAACATTATTTGATTATACTGCACTTTAATATAATTTATTAAAAATACAATCTATGAAAAATATCTGTTCTTGCTGAAGCAAGCCCTACTTAATTCAACCCAGGATTCACTTCCTGGAAAGAACATACAGAATTACAATTGGCTCTTATGCAGAAGAAGCAATCCTGTTCACACAATTGATAAAGGCAGTAGCTGTGAACCAACATTCTGCAAACTTTTGATCCAGTTTTGCATCTGAACAAAAAAAAAACCACAACCCTTTCTTATTAATAATAAAGTCCAATTATTTTCACTGAAAATAAAACAGATATCCAAATAAAATTCTGTCCTTTTTGTTCTCTATTTTCTTTGCTAGAAAAATTATCTTACTCTTTAGAATCTTATGATTATGATTTTTATTAGTAGAAAAATACAGCATCTAAAATGGTAAAGGAAATGGCTTCTATCCTGTGTCAATACTAATGTGCTATATACTATAGATTTAAAATGTACATATTTAATGAATCAAAATAAAAAATAAAACATATTAGTAGCATTAGATCTGTAGGAAACTAAAAACAGAGTGCAGTTTGTGCTCACAAATGATAAATTATAAAAAAATGTTCACTATATTTTTTAAAGGAGAAAATTGTATTATATATAATTTCAAAACATATTCTGAAAAAAATTAATTTCCTGATTCAATTTCATTAAACATACTTTCTTTTTTAAAACTATTGTTTTCTATGTAGGTTGACTTTAAAAAAGCAAATGAAAGAATGAGATGATGAGAATGAGAAAAATTGGATATAATCAAAATTTGGTTCTCATCTTGTGCATAGGATGGCCCTTTCTATTTCTACTTAACAGTTTTAAAGTTAGCAGTCCAGGCCAGAGAAAAATGCACCATGCCATTTGATCTGTGTTGGAAAGATTGAAGAGGCATGCACTTTGAGGTGCCTTCTAGAATGGATTTTGGTCACCAAAGCAGGAAAAATGGGGGAAACCTTGGCATTTCCCTATTCAACTGTTGACAAGCCATCCTTGATATAAAGAAGACAGACCTATCAAGATTTTGCAGTGTTCCTTACTAATCATTACCAAAGTAGAAAATATAAACCATGGATGGGCCATGTTTGAAATGTATTTATTCATTAAATTTATATGCCACCCATCTCACTATCCAGTGTGACTGGGCAAAATGAGCACAGAGATATTTCTCACCGGCATTGTGTGCAAAATAAGTAGAAAAGGTGCAGCGCCATTCAGAATGACTGGACATAAAAGGAATGAGAGAGATACTTTTTATATCCTTGCTCTTCACAAGTGTCAGGGTAAAATGACCCTATTATCCCTGTACTTATTCTGTTTGTGGATAATATAGAAATTTGGCAGATGTTTAAGAGAACCAAAATGGTGTAGCATATGAAAGAAAGAGAGAATTTATAATAAAATTGCTATTCTGTCACATACAACAACACATGTATTTGATTGTTCCCTTACATCATCCCTTAGTTTGGAACTCAAATACATACGCAAAAAAATCCTAGCAATTGTGTGAAATTACATTTCAGATGCAGCTTGGAGTTTTGCTCTGTTTTAGTCAGGCAAGCAAATTGTTCTGATCAAGTACTATATAAAGATAAACTCTCTTAAACAATTGATCAAAAGCTATAATAAACATCAATTCCATAAGAAAGAAGTAAACAAAATTATATATATTATAATGCCTTTATACAAAGCTGTGATGTGTTCACACAGTAAGGACATGCATCATGCTATAGTTGAATTAACCATGGTTTATTGAACAAATAACATGTTCTCAGCCATAAACCATGGTTTACAAGCTATAAGGCATGGCTTCATTCATCTCAATTGTTCTAAGTAGATTATATTATCAATGAAACAATACAAAATTTTACAATATATTTCTACTGGACACCCACCTCTTTGGAACACTTGGAATGACTATGAGTGAACATTAGTTAAAGGGAGGTGGTCTTTGCAAAACAGATGTTTGTTGTCTCAACATTACCATCGCACTGATTACATTCACTTTCTTCTTTACTTAGGTAGCACCCTACCAGATATGATTATTCATATAAAATTATATAAATAATGAACAATTTGGGTTTTTTTAATCTACATTGGGATTTGAAAGTCTTGTAGAAAAAAATATTCTTTAATGTTGAAATGTACATGGGTCTTTCCCTACCTATGTGAAGTCCATGCTTTCAAATATAACTGCTCTCTTTCTTGGTTCAGCGTTTCTCTGAAGGCACATGGACTGAGTCATAAGTCATAAGAAAATCTCAGAGATTTACACTGCAGTTTTTCCTTAAGCAATACTTTTAGGTTTATGTGGAAAGTTCAGTACAAGCATCTTTGGTTGCAACTTCTTATTACAAATTAAATTCATTTTTCTTCCAAGAAGTTATATAAAATGGCCTTTCTGGTAAATAATCCAACTGAAAGGAAGACATGCTTGTTGAGTTTCTTCATCCAAGTGAAACTGGCACAAAGTACAGAAACTGTCTTCAGAATGTTGGTATCTGGGAGTTAAAAAGAAAAAATGAAAAATCAGTTACAAGGATCTATGCAGCTTGATTATTTTCATTTAAAGTATCCCTTTAATTCCTTTTCTCCGTTTCATCACAGAATACTCAGACCAATTTCTATAGAGAAGGTATAGAATATATAAATAAATCTACAACAAGAGAAGAGATAACACTGTCCCATAGTTGCCTCTTACCTACTTAATTCCCAGAATCCCTGTTTGATGCAAATGCATGGCTTTAAACAATTAAGTTTGGGTCTTTGAGCAAAAATGAACTGAAACCATCGTATTCATAAGGGAGCAAAATTCATGAACAGCAATGGAGGTGTCCATAAGAGTATTTGGTGTTGATTATTTTTCATGTTCCAAACCTTTTTCTACCTCATAAACAATGCTGCACTTGATGGCCTAACTAAACTACTACTCCCAACTGATTTTACAATCTGACTGTATTTTCAATATAATGCTAGAAAAGTAGCACGAGCAAACTTTGGATTCCTAAACTTCCTTCTCATCTTTTTGTACATCAGTCTAGTGGAAATCAGAAGCTTTGTATTCATTTTCAAATAACTGAGATTTGTTGTTATCTGTACCATTGAACAACAGTGGTTTGCCTTAGGTAGTGTTCTGGGGAAATTAGCCAATTTCAATTGATTCTGGCTTATCTTGTTAATGTTATCAACCTATCTACTTATCCGTCAAAACTCATTTAACATCTAGATCAGTGTTTCTCAACCTTGACAATTTTAAGGCATGTGGACTTCAACTCCCAGAATTCCACAGCTAGCATTGCTGGCTGTGGAATTCTGGGAGTTGAACTCCACATGCCTTAAAATTGTCAAGGTTGAGAAAGACTGATCTAGATAAAAAGCAAACAGAATAATAGAGTTGGTTGTCAATCTCTTCTTGAAAAGTGGTTGTCAATCTCTTCTTGAAAACCTCCAATGATAGAGCACCCATAACATCTGAGACTAGATTCAACCGAAATAAGATCAATGTAAGTGTGGAACCGAAATAAGATCAATGTAAGTGTGAACTCAGTGTCCTGGTGGGATAGCTTCTATAATCACTGTGCCGTAACCATGAAGGCCCTGTTTCCTTTTTAAGTTCACCTGGAACATAAAAAGTATTTTCTGTGTATCTTAATATTTGGCTCAATATAAACAGGAAGATGTACTTTCTGAAATACCGACTAACTGTAGTAGGTCCAGTTTTACCATGTACAATTAAATTAACTATAATTAATTAAAAATGGAGAATGAGTTTATTGAACATGAAAATAAATTTTTTCTGATCTTTCTGAGGAGGAGTTTCAAAGGAGAATAATGCAATCTCTACTGTGGCTAGAGCACAGATATGAAATAAATAAAAATAGTATTACTCCTGAACCCACCTATGATAACTTGTACTCTGTAATACATAGAAATTATATAGACTTGTAAAAATGTTTCTTTACAAGAAGAAATAGATTTGTTTTCAGATTAAAAGTATGCGTGTTTTATGATATTCTATTCTAAACCGGAGCTTACCTCCTATGCCTTCTGGTCTGGAGGAGATGGCTTCTGAACTCCAAAAGCAGTGATAAATATATTGACAACTACTATAATAAACACCAGTCCAGTGGCAAGGTTATTGAGAAAGTCCAGTTTGGCGTGTTTTGCAGGATTATTAAGGTCATATTTAACTAGAAGGAAAGAACAGTGAAAGAGATTATATTCTCACTAATGAACAATTACTTTTGGAGATGAAAAGGTTAGCTTGAGGAAGTAACATTTCCAAAACCGCATGCCAAAGAGATTTCTGTGTAATTAAAGAGATGTGCACAAATGATTATGATTCAGAAGTGTAAAAAAAGACCCTACACTATCTGCTTTTCTCTGACTCCCATAATAGGCATTACAGGTAGTTCTCAACTTAACAACCACAACTGAGCTCAAAATTTTCATTGCTAAGCAAGACAATTGTTAAGTTGAGTTTTGGTCCCTTTTATGACCTTTCTTGCCATAGTTGTTAAGTGAATCACTGCAGTTGTTAAGTTAGTAACACAGTTGTTAAGTGAATCTAGCTTCCCCACTGACTTTGTCAAAAGGTTGCAAAAGGTGATCACATCATAATTACGTACCAGTTGCCAAGCATCTGAATTTTGATCACATGACCATGGGGATAGGATACAAAGATTTACATAATAAGGCTTAAATCATTTTTTTTTCAGTGATGTAACTTCAAATGATTACTAAATGAATGGTTGTAAGTTAAGGATTACCTGTATTAACCACAGGCTGTGTTTAGAAAGTGAATGAGAAGAAATCTTTTCTATTTGGGGGAATAAAAAAAAAAAACATTTGCAAATTTCCGAAGATTTCTTGTCAGGGCTGAAACAGAAAAATAAGATTTTTTTTTTGCTGGTACTTCTCATAAAACAACGAAGTCAAAGCTAAACATGTAGCTGACATAGGACACAAAACACTATTACACTGGTTAGAAGAACCTCTGGCAATGAAGTAGAGCTTTCTCTCAAATCCCAGTTGCTGGGACTGCAGCAACCAAAGTAGTCTAATCTCAAGAGTCACTGCTTGGTCAGTGAATCCAAATTTCAACATGTCTGTGAATCAGACAAATTCCACATTAGGGATTATTTCACAAAGTAAGTGAAAATATATTCAGAACTATCCCATTCAATTTTCTGAAACAGGCTTTGTCCAAATCTTGATGCAGTGTTCTTCTTTTCTTCTATTTCTTTCCTATAATTTATCTTATATTTTTATGTTATAAATTTATATCATATTTGTATGTATTATTTTTCCCTTAGAATTCCAACTCGGCCTTTAATTTCCTATAGTTTAGTGGTTCCCAAGCAATCTGAGTATGAGGATCCTTTTTAACCTCAAAAAAACCTGTTGATTTCCATATGGTAGTAGTTATACTTGGTATATGTTATACTATGATATACCATTATCACATGGTCATAGTTATATTTCAATCAACCTACTGACTGAAATAAAATACAACAAACACTGAATTCAGTAGTCATAAAAAAACACCATTACGTGAACTGCGTTTATCAATAGTGGAAATTTTTTTGTCAGCCCTCTAATCCAACACTGAAACATCTCCACTTTCTTTTTACTCCTTCTTGCTCAGACTTATTCAAAGAAGGATAAAGAAAAGATGCCGGGATGTCTGCATGCAATTCTTAAGGAATAAATCAATCACACCCTCAAGGCCAACATCTTGAATTCTTTGGCCATATACTGCTGACAACCCTGAAATAAATTGATTTGTTCTAAAGGACCAAACCTCCCTCCACTTATTTTCTGATTTCAGAAATGAACTTCTTTGTAGATACTCAAGGGAGCAATCTGCCAGGCTGTACTGTCATCAACTCCTTTACTTGATTGTATTTTCCCCAGAAAACGGTGCCAACACGTTGAGTTCTCCTCCCCCCTCCCTCCGCCAAGCAACTTCCTCATTTCAGATGTGAATCCCAAATCCCAGGACTAGGCAGATTTTCAAAGCCTCTTCACAATACAATGCCTCGGTTTCTCTCCTTCTGAAGAGTTTTGTTAATTCCCCCCCCCCCTTTTGACTATTTGCTATGCTATTACAGTATGCCATACTTTCTTGTTAATATTATTGCTATAATAGTATGTTTAGAATCTCTGCCTCTATTCCATGAATATTCCACATTTTAATTTGATTATTTATTAAATTTATTTTATTTTAAAAACAACATTTATAGGAAATACAGACAGGAATCCCCTTGACTCATTTAGTTCTACCTCAAGCTGAGAATTTCTTTTCTTTTTTCCATTAAGCAACAGACATCCTAGCACTGTTGTCCCTGAGGTTCAAAAGTGCATTTTGTATAATAACAATGGCAACTAGGGCCACTTTGAGGTAAAGGACGAATTCTGTTCATACCTAGCCCTGGGAATCCTACCCTAGCCATGACACCTTCTTCCTGTTGGAAACCACAAGAACTAAAAAGTGGAAGTAAGCTTCATGAAATTCAGAAGCATAAACACGAGAGAATCGCCACTCTTACACAATGCATTTTCCAAGAGCATGCACTGCAGTTAGATTAACATATTCAGGTTTTTTAGAAAGGAACATCAATTATTGCAGTAAGAGGCTTTCGAATTAAGAAATTCATCTGGTTTCAGAGCTGATATATGTAGTGATTTCTCCACAGCAATGGAGATGTGGATTTTTTTTAATGCCAAGTTTCTGTATGAACAACGCTGAATTCTAAGATTTCAGAGGGAATTACAAATATACGGAACTTGAAACTGTTTTTCTATATGGGAAATGTTAAGCTTTTATTAGAGCAATTCCTCTCATTTTGTGTAGTTTAAACTATTCATTTCCACTTTCATTTCAAAAAGAAAGCTCTTGCAATTAATATAGGGTTTTCTGCAAGGACATCTGGGGGCAATTAAAAAAATTCAATTAATAACATCCTAAACCTTATTTTTACATCTGTCACAATGCAGATAAAAAGGGGGCAGATCTTTGATATCACTGGCCCAGCTGCCATCCTAAATGTTTCTGACCCCCCCCCCAAGGCCCCTGATTTATAGTGCATCCAGGAGGAAACTTTCCACACACTCTCAACTCAAATGGCAAGTCTTTCATTTGTGCTATTCCTTGTCTTTCTTTAAACATTAATCGGGGCAAGGAGTCCTGAGATTTTCAAGTAGGCTAAAGTTCATTTGATCTCATGAAGACAGCAAAGAAAATCCATTCCTGTCCTCCTCCTGTTTTCTCTCAGCCTGTAAAATAGGAAAGCTGAGAGATAAAAACTGTTCCCAGCCCTCACAATCTAAAAGACAGAAGAAAATAGGAAAAAAAGAAACATATAATCCAGCTGCAAGAACATGTACTTGGAACATGATCAAAGGAAGCCACTGTGGAAGGAGGAACAAAAGAGGCAGAAAAAAACCACTCTGGTAGTTAAGCTGACAGCTTCCTTCCTCCCCCTTTTTACCCTACAAT